CACCATGGCAATCATCGTGTTAACCGAGTGATAAATTTTGTTGTAAATCATTGTCGATTGTTTATTGTTTCCTTTCCTATTATTCGGTAATTGGAAAGTGAATGAAGTACAAATGTACTATAGAGATGCTACGTTACAAACATACAGGGTTGCTTTTGTGACTGTGTTTCGCGTAGATTTCGGGTATCGACGGAACCGCAGTTCGCGTTCATAAACACCGTCCAATTCGTTTTATCACTTTCAACGTTCGACACGTGCATGAAACATTGTTTCGGACGTGGCTTAACGAACTGGCTTCGTGAGAGGCATAGCTTAAAGAGCAAAAAAAAAAGTTGTTTAGGTAGCATTGTGACGCGAAATACAATTATCAATCTGGGAGATTAATCTCTTCTATATGAATTTGAAAATACTATCGAAATTGGAATTCCGTTCGGAACGGAACGCATTCATCCGACGACGTTCGATACACGAACGACGCATAATGTGGAAATGAAAAATCGCGCGAGGAAAAATTTTTTGATAAAACGGTAAAAAATTGTCGATAGCCGGTGTGACACAAAATTTTGCGCGAGTCTTTGGAGAATTTTTTAGGATATATAGAATTGGATAATTTGCAATGATTTAACGCGTGCAAATTATCGAGACACGTAGCGTTATAGGGGGTTAATACGAATTTAACATTAATTATAAAATAATATCGTTAAAATCGTATACTTTCTGATCTTCGTATTCGGCGAAATTTTAATTAAGTCACCGAATAAAATAATTTCACGAAGCACGAGATCACGTGAAAATTACTCGAAATGGGAACACGTGTTGGTGAAAAGCATACACGACGTTCTAATAGTTTTGAAGTATCGTGAAATCTGTGTAAAGTAATTCAGCAAATGGGTAACCGGAAATACAGGGCCGAGCTCTGAAGATAACAGTTGCTGCGGTTGAGTTTGCGACATTTCGGCCAATGGGGACGTGTCGAGAAGGACTAGTGTTATTCGCGCTATGCCGAACCATCGGAGTAATTGGACTAATTACCGGACGCAATTATCCGGAATTAATCGAGATAAACCGCTTAATTAGCACCACGTTCGTTGTTCCTCGGTATACTACTCGTATACTACTCGTATGCTACTCGTCGTTGATTTTCAACTGCCGCGAGATATGCTAAACAGACTGCCAGTCTTCCTCCCTGTACCCTTTTCGTAATCAGTTTCATCTAAGGTGTTAGAATTCTCTATTAGAGTTCTGTATTAGAGTTCTCTAGCGGAACGAAATGCAAACTCGAAATCAACCCTTCGATCGCACGAAGCTTTGCAAAATTTTCGCATTGTGGCAACACGTCGGGAACATCTCTGAAGTAACACGGTTGCCCGTTCCGAAATTACAAGTTGGAAATACGGTAATTTCATTCCAAATACAACTTCGGATACATCACTGTACCTTAAACTTCACTTCCACTGTTCCGGCTGCAAAATCACGGAACCGAGCTCGAATTTACAGACAAGATTAACACGTCGGACGAATTTTCTGTATATCACTGACGTTCCTGCGAAATACGTGGCAATACATGTACGAAAATTAAATTGTTTGAACAGTTTGTTGATGTATCTTCGTCGCTACGATATTAGAAATTTCCATGAAAAATATAATCGGCAATATTGTCACTAAATATCGCACATTAAATGGCTGTCTTGAGATAAGGAGTATTTTAGTTTGATTTTTTGAAGATTTTGCGAGGCTGAAACAGATAATTTAATATTTGGCACCGCGATGAGTATTTCAAAAATTATCCAAGAAACAATAAATATCGATTTTTTCAGTATTTACGAAAACTGAGACTGCGATTTTTTCCAATATTTCTATCAACCGCGAGGTATAGTGTTCACCTTCCCTAGTAAAATCAAATTTGATTTTTAATCGATTGAATTCTTTTTTCCGCTATATTTTTATACTGCTATGAAGTTACATTAATTTTTTTCTGGGTTTAAAAAAGTATTCGAAAGACTGTAATTATACTTGCAATATTTTTTTCAATGGCCTCGTGTAGTATCATTCTTCTCCTGTAGGATCAAATTTGATTTATAATCATAGGACTAATTTTTCCTGAAATATACTATTTTATCGATAATCATTCTACCATTTAACTATAATCAGTAACAATCGCAATGATTGTTAATTAATTATAAAGGAAATATGTCACTTACTCCACGATTTAAAGATAACAATAATTATTTTTAAGCGTGTAAAAATAATAATAGCTCCAAATTTCGTGTAAAAGATTTCCCAAACGAAGAAATAAGGAATCTTCACGACATATTGAAATAACCCAATATTCAAACTCCACGTCTCGCTTCTATTACTATTCATCATCATCATGGTGTAAACGAAAATATACTCCTACCATGGCATGCATAGTCAATCACGGCGTTAATTAAAATCGGCGAGTCCGTGGAAGAAATCGGTGAAGTACCGTATGAAGCGTGGTTTCGAGACAAATCTCGAGAATTCTGTAATTAACACGGGCTGAGCCAACGAGCAAGACTGATCGAATTAAAATCGTCACTCGATTTCCGGGCGTGCTTAGCCCGCCTCGTCATCAGATGGAACAGGTTCACGTGCCGAGTTTCCCGCGGTTGTTGGTTAACGACACTACCCCCTGTCCGATTGGCCAATTAAGATTTACGCGTTTCCAGCAATGACGGCTCGACACGACGATACTGTGCGATTCGACAGTTTCCGCGAATTTATCGTTTTATCGTTTGTTTCTATGCCAGCCAGATACCGCGTGCAGCGACGAGCCGCCTTCCCCTGCTGAAATTTATTTGCTTCCAGGGAAACAACATTCCGAACGCCATAAAGGAGCACGACAGCAACTGCCACCCCTCTGTGGTCATGCACGAGCTATATATTCCTTTCACTCTTTAAACATTCAAGTCGGCGATTTATTCGATATAATTCTGCTCGATGCTCACGGGCTGATGCGGAAGAGCATCGTTTGCGATAGGTTAGGGATGATCGTGTGGGATTAGGTTTGGGTTAGGTGCCATCCTGTTCGTGTATAAGGTTTTGGATATTTAGTGGATTAAATATTTAGGTTGATATTGTATAGGAAAAATGAAATTTTTATTAGATTATTTGTTAAACACCATTTGTGCACATAATTATGAAAGTGGTCTAAGTCGTCAGTTTAAGGGGAATGATTTTATTATTTATTTTACGTTGAATTCATTTATATCACGATAGAATATATTTATTTTCTATAAAACAGTGAAAAATTGAATCGTTAAAACGAGTTTGTAGCTTTATCGCAATTAATTTTATAATTTATGGCGTATTTAAAGACCGAGGCTTTTAATGTTTCAAAAGCAAACGTAAGTGACTTTGATTGTTTGTAGCTTTATCGCAATTAATTTTATAATTTATGACGTATTTAAAGACCGAGGCTTTTAATGTTTCAGAAGCAAACGTAAGTGACTTAGACCAATTTCATAGTCATCAGCACATTTGCTCTTGGAAGAAGATTGTTTCTTTAATTATTGCAATTTTATGGTTAATTCTTTTATTATGGTTTTATTTTGAATTTAAGATAGAGATTGTTATTATTCGGATTTTTGATACGTTTACTTTGGATCTAGATTTGCAACGCTATTATTTAACGCAGATTTGGGTTACGTACGAAAGGAAACATTCGCGAGGTATTGCAATTTTGCTTTTAAATGGAACTCGATGAATAATGGTAGGAGCATGAAAGCATTTCGACGGAAGCTGAAAATATTTGTGTAACATATTTGCAGAACAGTAGTCGTTTTAGACGAAAATGTCTCTGGCCTTCCGCTGTATAGCATTCTGAAAATGTTTCGAACCTTCTCTTTTCTATCTGTGTTCGTGCATGCTTCGTTTATCGAATGGGAGTTTCTCCTGGATGCATCGAAAAGGTATAAAACCGGTGAAAATTAGAGTTCGGAGGTATTATCGCTAATATTATTCCAACTCCGATGCATGATTATTGTTACTATATTTTTAATCGTGTGACAAATCTCGTTATGAGTTTTACACCGATTGTGATCTCAATGCTTATATTTGAGTGGTTACTATATCTACAGAGCTCTTGAAATGGGGGAAAAGATTTTAATTAAGTACCCTGTTCCTTCTAGAGCTTCAATTATATTATAATTTATTCTATAAATAAATATCAATACAATTTCTGTTTTCCAATGAAAGAAATACAAGTATAGTTTTAATCAAAAGCTTCTCATTGTCTCTGCTCCTAATATCTCCCTATAAGCAATTAAATTTAACATTACTATAGTACTCTTGACAAGAAGCTGTTAGCAAAACTGAATAATACTTATTCTTTCATTATCTTCTCCTTGGCAATATATTAAGGTATTAACGCCTTTGTTTACAAAATCGTGTGAGACTCGTGAGATGGCTATCGGGTCAAACGTAAATATCACGGGCGAGAGACGTGATTTGTAGATGGGGTACCATTTTCCCCGATATCTTTCTACCTCAGTTACGTGTTATTTTTCGCAACATTCTATGTGGCTACATGTGTGACCAATTGTGCTCTTGATCATGACACGTGTCATCGAAACTTAAGTCCTAAGGCAATGTCCTAAACCCATTTAACATTCCTGTTTTGTGTCTATATTATAGTACTATACACTTCCAAAAAATTATAATAATTTAAAACAATTTCGTATTATTGTGTCTGGCCGAAAATTTCTTGCCAGAGGTACTTCTTGCCTCTCTACTGTCAACAGCTTCTGCTACCCTACCTTTTAAAATCCCTTCTCCATTAACACTCGAGCCCACTTCCTCGTCAAGTCAGTCTCGCCGAATTCTCGGAACATCTTCGTATGACACCCTTTATCCACACCGCGGCAGACATAATTAAGGCATCGAATATTAGCGAGAGCCACGAGCAGTCCGTCCTAATTACCGTCGCAAGACGTATTAATTAACCTTATTGACCGTGACGTTCTCTATTACTGTTACAGAGCAACAGGAGCCAGCCAGCCATCGGACTGAAGCAGACACCGAAGGCGCGGGTAAGTTTTTCCACTCTTGATACTCATCCCCTTCTGCCGTGTTGCTTTTTGCCACGCGGTGGCGAAATTCAAATAGCGGCTGTCCGTGGCAACGATCTAGCTCCGAACTAGTTAATCCAGGGCTCGTTAGAACCCTGATCGATGCCCACCGACCGAGTTCTCCGTGCCTCCAAACAACTTTTCCACCCCCTGCAGCCTCCTCCGGCTTCTTCGACCTGGAGAAGCTGCAACTGGCGTACCCTTTCTCTCTCGCGTTCTCTCCTTCGACGTGTACCCGCGTGGTACATCTTCGCCGGGCAGCCAACCGCGAAATCGGCTGGGAGGGAACGGGACACGTATAATTTTACGACTTTAGTTTTCGGCGATCCTCGAGCCCGTGCCGAGGGTCGTCGCGACGCTCGCTCGTAATTTACGACCGTCAAATCGCGTGTCGTGGATTTAAAACCGGGTATTACTTTGTAGTTTGTCCCTTCAATGGGGTTGCACGATGCTCCTTCGGCCCGGGGTTTATGGCGCGTGCAGATGCGTGGCAATCTTGAGGGTTGGTTTTCGTTTCGAATGTATCTGTTAATCGCTCCTGTTGTTATTCCAGGGACACGCGACTCGTAATTCTCTGACGATTTCTCATTTCACCGTTTAATGATGGATGCTATTTAATTAACTTTATTTACCTTGTTATCCTCTTGCATAGTATCGGAATATGTGTAATATAAAGGGATACCGTGAGGTATCAATTAACGAAAGGCACTATTTCGGGATTCGACGAGCTTTATTATGCAAAAGGGGGGACTGTGCCGTGAACATTGTGCCACTCTTCGGAAGAGGTCTATAACGCTTTCTAGTCGCCAATGAACTGATTTTTTCCTAGCACAAACGTCGTGGTCCACGTCGTTTCGACATTTCCACTTCATTTCCAGAGTCATGGGGCACTGGTCGTAAAGACACGAACCAGACCATCATTGACTCGGGACCCTCGATGACGCTAATAGGAATTTACGTAATATGAAGGAATATCGTGTGGTATCAATAAACGAAAGGCACTATTTCGGGATTTGACGAGCTTTATTATGTGAAAGGGGGCTGTTTCGTGGTCCACGTGTCCGTGAGTCATGGGGCGCTGGTCGTAAAGACATGAACCCAAACCCTCTAAGGACCCTAAGACCTAAAGACCCTCATTAACTCGATCGACTATGGATTCGTTCCTACAAATGTATAGGACGATACATCTGAAACTGACTATCTGAATAATTCCCTTAATTTTTGTAACAAAAATATTATCGAATAAGGTTAATCTTGCGAGGGTCATACAATGCTAGGTTAATAATTGTTTCGCAAATGCAGATATATAAGAGATATAAAAATGGAACCTGTTTTCCCATTTGGGTATGCCGATATCGACAGACGAAATTCGTGTAAACAACCGAACGATGTGACCGTTGTGAAACCCGACGAGACTAGGAAAAATGAAATTGTGCCCGAAATTAAAAGCGACGTCCTCTAATAGCCGAACACAGTGAAAATTTAGAAAAATCCGGCATCGAAACGGGGCAACGTCGAATCGAATTTCGCGGAAACGAAGGTTGCGGAATCCCGTTGCCAGCGAACCGTTGATAATGTTCGTTAAGTTGGAGCAAACGATCCGTGCAGGAACGACTGGTTTTTCGTTTAAAGACGCGCCGTACCGGCGTGGCGCGATCGTTCGGGGTCGTAACATTACGCGGAATTCCGCTCGTGTTGGAGACAACTGGCAAGAGGACGCGTACGAGCGAACAAAGCCACTAAATGACATACTCTAACCAGGTGTACGTGACGGGGGCGCTCGGTTTTAATCCCCACTGGGCCTACTTATTTCACCAGACAGACGGGGACAGAGTGGAACAAAGGGTAAAGGTCGGATATCTCTGTCCGTGGGTGGAAAAATCGCGTGGAAAACGAACGAGACGGAGCGACGGAAACGAGCGATGGCTGTTCGTTACGTCTGTTCGGGGTACACGGGAGACGTTAATATCGCGGATAAGTTATTAATTTTCCGCTTGATCGATGATCGAGGTCGTCGAACGGGAGAAATACGCTTCCTCGGCGAGGGACCATTAATTGCGAGAAGAGTTTCACGAAGCTTCGCGTTGCACGCGCTGCGCGCCTTTTTTTAAACCGTGAAATCTATGGGCGGAGCAGGTAGAGACAGCCTCGTTCCATTTGCTATGGCAAATTACACCGTTCCAGCGTGGTGTCGGAGTTTTTGGTGTTACGCGTTCGGTGTATCGGAGAAAGTCTTTTTTTCCCTTTTTTCGCCTTCTTTTTTTCTTTTTTTTTTTTTTTTTACTTTTCACTTTTCACCCGGTTCCTGCCTTTTAATCTTCCGCTCATCGCGCAAAGGCTTTGACACAACAGGCAGCAGCGAAACGGCATCGATCGGCCTTGTGTAACGCGAATTTCAATAACTATTTGACGAACGCTTCGCTGTAAATTGTTGCTCGGAAAGATCGATAATTTGGAGCATCGAATCTTTTGAACGTATACCATTTTGGAGCATTGAATCTTTTGAACGTATACCGTATACTGTATCGATGAATAGGTATATGTGTACGCATATATTTGAGGGTCTGCATTAGCATGAAGAGAAAAGAAAGAATCGGCGGTCCGAAATGGCATCGATGCTGCGACTAGATTGCTTCGTTTCGCGTCCAAGAAGCATAAATTTCAATTCGATGACAAAATTGCTGGGATGGCACATATTTGCCGCAATGGGGAAAAATCGATGCACCTTTCGGGGTTAACACGTTCGACTTTCCAATGGAATCGCTCGCCCTGTTGGAATATTTCCCCCGTTTAACTTAAACGAGGATTAAATTCTTCTATGTTATCCTCCATCTTGGAAAATATTCCCTGCGCGTGTTTTAAGCTTAGAAGAATACCCCGACAACTAAAATTTACAAAGTATAAAAATTAATGCGGTATAACCACCCTTATTTGAACTAATTGCTAGAAGAAAATAGCACTCAGGAAATAATATTGAAATACAAGAATATTAGAATAAAAGCGATATTACTATAAGATGTACAGCAAATGTAGACTTCGAGACGAAACTAAACGATATATTGTACTTTTTTCATCCGCCAAAAAATACCTCGACAGCTGAAATTTACAGAGCTTGAAAATTAATACGTCATCACTATCCTTATATGAATTAATTACTGGAAGAAAATAATATTTAGGAAGCAATATTAAAATGCAATAATATTAGAAGAATTTTATTAGAAAAGAGTTATTTTAAATTTAAAAATATTAGAAAAATATTAGTAAAAAGCTTTTTACTACACCCCATATTACTATAGGGTGTAAAGTAAATGTATACTTCGGGACGAAACCGAACGATCCATTTTACTTTTTTCATCCCCAAAAAGTTTCGTAACAGTGATAAATTAGAGTACATCGGGCTGGACGTATTTCGTAAATTCAGAAAAATAGAAAACAAAGGATTCGTATCGCACACGCCTGTGATCCCGATTAACCGCGAATAAAGACCAGTCTGGAAATTAAATTAAATGGCGGATGACCTACTCAATTTCCCCGATCCGTCCAATCCATCATCCCTTAAACGAATATAATGATCGATGTCTCGATAACACCGCGGTTCCCAATTTCGACGTGGCGCGATAAAAGCGATCATCTGGATCATTCGGGTGCACGAAATCATCTGTCGTTATCACGAGTGACCAAGTAGACTCGGTTCATTTTTCTCCGACGGGGTGTTCCCGAGTCCGAATGACGCGTTCCGATCGTTACCTGGTCCCGAACGCTTCGCAGTCGTCGTGTAAATGAAAGCCGAAGGAACCGGAAGAGGAACGCGAACGGTAACGTCTGCGGAACGACGTGAAATCGCGCGGTCCAATTTCGCGAGATTGCTTGCCGAGGCGACTCGTCGGGAGGACCATCCTCTTGGAAAAGAGCTTCTTCGAGGCACGAGGGTGCTCGTATTTTTTCCTCTCCCTCCCTTATCGTGAAAAAGAAACGCGACCTTCCTTCCAGGGTTAGGGAACGCGCAGCCAATTCTACGATAGTCTGTCAGATGCAATTTGCACCGACTACTCGTATCCTGCTGTGCATTACCTTTAATGTTACATTCTCCCCGACTGCGTTGCATACGACCTGCATTTGATTTTTCATGGTTGGGTACGGGGACGTCGGATGATTATGATAACTGTTGTGAGCAAAATATTCTTAGTCGTGATGTCTGATTTCTGATTTATCAGCCATTTGTGATTTTCTCTGAGCTCCACAAGTTGTGTATGATAATTAAAGTAGACGATATCAGAGGTGGATGTGTGACGAATAGAAATATTTTTCAGAAATGAGATTTCAATTTTTATTGCTTGTCTGTTTAACACTTTGACTGCCATGCAATTTTTATGTGGTACGTTTTGGGGGCCATGATAAAGTTTCCATTATTCTTAAGATATAATGACGAATTATCGAACAATATGGCAAAAACAATTATTAATGTTTTGTATTCAGAGTTCTCTGTTTATTTACGTTGTTCAAATTTTCAAATAATGGTGAGAATAAAAGAAATATAAATTTAAAAAATTAGTATTGCCGGACACTGGTGACCATCATGGCCCCACTGAGAACACAAGCACCGATCAAGGATGTCCATCATGGCAGTCAACGTGTTAATGTAGTTATATAGAGTTCTAATTTATTTTTACAAATCTTTTAATTCTTTGCAGTTAGAATCGCGTGACAGTGATGGTGGTGGTACTGTGGATCACCGGATTTACAGTGTCTATTTAGAAAAATTAGGAAATAGTATAAAAATTTAAGATTGCGTATATCGAGTACTGTAATTTGGAATTTTTTAATTGTTATATATCAAATTTTCTGTCTTCTTTTTTCATTTTTATTCAAAGTGATCGTGATAGGAGATCGAAGTGAGAAATTGATTTAATATTCTCTTTAAGTTTATACCTCCGTATAATTTTTAGCGTAAACTGACAGAC